CGTTGCATGCCTCAAATTTTACAGCAAATAAACATTCCGCATCGCCGCATCCAATTCTATATGTAGGCATCCTTGTTTTTTTTTTTTTCAAAGAGTATATGTCTGTGTTTTCATTTCCCTTCATGGTTGTGTTTGTATTTCTTTGTTTTTGCTTTTGTTTTTTTGCATATCTGCATCCGAATGTGTGCAAAGTGCTGCTCTTGGTTATGTGCCACAACAATTTCATTGTTTTTTGTTTGGCTTGACATAAATTACAGCGACAGCACGCATATTTTCCAGCTACGAAGCTATTCGGGCCCAGGACTCGCAAGGACTCTTACATTCCCTGCTGAATGGCTGGCTTCTCTTGGTATACATTTTTGTCGAATCAAATATTTTTAAGCCGAAACCTTCTTGTCCCTGACACTCCATAGTTATGCTAATGTCAACGCAGTGCTAAAAAAAAACCCAGCAAACTATCTGGTTCTTTGCGAAATGTGTCAAAGGACATGCCTGTAAATCCAATACGGCGTATGACATGCGTTGGACGGCAGGAAACAGAAAGGATAACGGCTGAAAGTTCTGGCCAGGAACAGAAACAGAGCCAGAGCCAGAACCAGAGCCAAGTGCCGAGCAAACAACGTGGCCTCATTAAAGTGACCAAAGGAGAAATCGAGCAGGACACTCTGACCTACCGCCTGAAGAAGTATCTTTGCTGGGCAATTTTTACACTGCGACAAAGATATTAAAATATTTATTAAATGCTGAAAGTTTAAGCTGTTATTTTAAAAAGATAACTTACTTTTTCAGTGAGTTTCACAATAAAAATTTTCTAAGAAAACTAAGGACCTTTTTCTTCCGGTTTAGTGTTCAAACTAGACCCCTTCGCACGTGTAAACATCAATTTGCGATTAAATATTATCCTAAATGGCGTACAACAAGGGCTGTCCTGCCCCCCGAGATCCACGAATCCTGGCAAGTGGAGAAAGGGGCAAGCAGAGGTATTGGCAAGAAACAAAGCATACTTATTTGGGTCACTCACGCATACACAAATGTTTTCCCTGTTGTTGTGTCTGCACAGATTGCCGGACAAGTGGTGGGCAATGGTAAGTAGGACCAAGGACCAAGGTCCAAGGACTAGACAGCAATTTGGTAAACAAGTCGCCGACGCCGCCATCGCCGCCGCCATCGCTTACACGCCTGTGACTATATTTAGGTGTCCGGCGTGTTGCCATCATAAAACTCATGCTAAAATAATAAAGTGGACATTGGCCACTGGACACTGGGCACTGGCGTTGCACAAATTGAGACGCACAAGTGTACCAGGAACAATGGCAATCCAGATCCAGATTTAGACAAGACGCGTATTCGCTGCTAACACAATAACTTTCTTGCTGTTTTACGATTCCCTTTTTCCGTTGGACGAGGACGTGGACGTGGATGTGGATGTGGACATGGAGGGGGGATTCTTCCCTTAAGAATTACGATTTACGAGGAAAAACAAACGTGAGCGGCACTTGCAATCCACATGAATGACTCTCTTTTAGCCTGCAGGCGAATATTTGGTGTGCCTACCCATCAGCACGCCTCCTTGGCATGCCGGGTAAGTCGCTTTTTTATGACCTTTGGTCCCACAAATATGTGCGTAAGATATGCGGCCGCGATGACCCCACGCAACCCCCCCGAGGGGGACAGACAGGCCAAAGTGTCGTCGAGTGTAAATCATATTTACAGTGGTACTGTAATTGAATTAGGCCTCCCCAGCACCACCAGCACCACCGCCACCCCACATCCCTCATCCAGCACCATGCACCCAGCGTGAAGACAGAAGGGAATTTAATTTTACGTAAAAGAGCACTTATTTGACCTTTGTTGACCAGCCATTGGGATGGACGAAATATGCTGGCTTAACTCGATATGCTTCATTTGGGCATGATAACTCCAAAGGTCAATAATGTAGGTTAATAATTATTAGACATGTTTATTGGGGCTATGATGGGCTTAAAAATAGTACGGGTTCTCGATTGGGGAAATTAGACTGTATAGTTTAGGTGAAGCTTTAATAGTACAAAATATTTATATACTATAATTGAATTTTTTTCTTTATTTTAAATACTTTCTAAACAACGATCCCAAAGAAACCAAACATTAAAATATTAATAATTTTAAAACAAACTATGAGATATAGGTGTCTCTCTCCAATGCTGCTGCCCTCTATGTTTCATAATCTTGTTAATGTAATGTAATCTTATTCAAACCTGTCCTGCAGATGGCGCCTCAAAAGTTTCCCTCAACAAGGCAAAATTGATCCGATCCGAGATGTACATTGCAGTCGCGAAAGCCATGTTTGACCAACAAATGCAAAGCCGAGACAAGTTTAGAAAAATACATTAAGAATATAATTAGGTTTTCCATCTTGTCAACTAGGTAATTAGTATTTTTTATTAGTTTAATATTTTTTAATTTATTTATTTTCGTATTTTGATGGCAGCTATTTTTGGCTGGAATGGAATGGATATTAAATACTCTTTTCCCCACCACCTTTGAGGTAGAGTATAAGGCGCGTTTTTTTTATAGTGGTATCCCCAAGAGGCCTAATCCACTTTACTACCTTTGCAGCCAAATTCATTTGGCTCTTTTCGCTGGCCCAGCCTCATATGTGACCACTACAGACATATTATATTATTTATTTAACCATCACGAGGTGCTCACTAGCAAGGTCCATGATAAGTCAAAAATTAAATAATTAAAATAAAATAGGTAGTAAAAACAAAAGTAGGCCCAAGTAGAAAATAAGTAGTTTATAAAAAAAAAAAGAATTCGCTTTAAAAACATTTTAAAACACAAGCCGGTCCATTTTCAGAAAATTCAATGTTAAATAAATAAAATAAAAAAAAGGTATAAGCCCCAGGCATTCAATTATTATTCAAACTAAATCTACTATAGAATCCACTAAAAAATTAAATATTTGAAATAAAACAGGTAGTAAAAACAAAAGTAGGCCCAAGTAGAAAATAAGTAATTTATAAAATAAAATTGGCCTAAAAGAAAATTCCGTAGAACCAATTGACAAATTAAGTCAAGAACATCCTTGCTCAAAAAGTATATAAATTTAAAATAAAATAAAAAATTAGAATAAAAAACAGGTAGTAAAAACAAAAGTAGGCCCAAGTAGAAAATAAGTAATTTATAAAATAAAATTGGCCTAAAAGAAAATTCCGTTGAACCAATTGACAAATTAAGTCAAGAACATCCTTGCTCAAAAAGTATATAAATTTAAAATAAAATAAAAAATTAGAAGAAAGAAATTAGAATAAAAAACAGGTAGTAAAAACAAAAGTAGGCCCAAGTAGAAAATAAGTAATTTATAAAATAAAATTGGCCTAAAAGAAAATTCAGTAGAACCAATTGACAAATTAGGTCAAGAACATCCTTGCTCAAAAAGTATATAAATTTAAAATAAAATAAAAAATAAGAAGAGAAAAATCAGCCCCAATGTCAAAAAAAAAATAACAAAAAGAAGTTGATTCTTGGTCGAAGGCTGACCACCGAATGAATTTTAAATCTCCAGAGACTGCCTTTTATAGGGTTTAGGGCCCACTTCAAATACAGGTATGTATTTCGATAAACAAAAATGTGTTGAAAAGGTGTAGAAAAAATATTTTAAGTGTTGAATTATATTTTAAGGGTACTTTTTCATACCCTTGCAGAGGGTATTATAATTTTTGTGAAAAGTATGCAACGCAGTGAGGGAGACATCTCCGACCCTATATATTCTTAGGGTCGAGTATATATATTCTTGATCAGGATAAGTGCGTTGCCGCGCAAAGTTGAAAAACGTAAAAAATTCAAAAAGCTTTAAAGTGTTGAAAAATTTGCAAAGAGGCAAAGTTCTGTTAAAAATTAACAGAACTTGAGCAGGTAGGTTGAGCGGGCAAATTTGAATTGTGACCAAAAAATACCAAACAATCCAAATTAAGAATTAATATAATGAAAATCACTCTTTTTCACGCACTCTTTTTCAAGTTGTGTTTCTTTAATGTAGATTTTTAATATAAAATGGTAAAAGCTAAGATGAATGAAACCAAAAAATTGTTATGGATAAAAATATAAGCTGGGTAAGCAATTTCTTAAGAAAAATGAAACAAAAAAAACCCATTAAAGAATCAATCATGTTACTTGTCATGTTGGTAATTCGTTTCTAATATGCCGCAATTGAATGCCCTAAAAGGAAGCGAATCCAACATGATATACAATCTTTATGGTCTGTGGTCAACGGGGCCAAGTTATCGATCCATGTACTTCCTTGCCGCGTATCACGTAGCCGCAGTGTTGCCTTTTTGAAAAGGCGTCACTGGCCAGCGATGTTTTTGCCTTTTAGCGGTGGCACTTCCCGTTCGAGATCTGTGATCTAAGATCTTAAATCGACGCCGCGATCTTTCGATCGCGATACAGATACCGTGGCGGTGATCTTGTACGATATTTCGTGCATTAATTGCTTTTGAGTTTTGGACCTGGCCCGGTCTGGTAAACAATTTCAAAATGTAGCTCACGATCACATGTCTTTGGCCCGAAATGGCAACGAGTGCTAACATTTGGTCGGTGTGAATTAAATTGAGTAATTAGGCGGTGTCAGAAGTCCCGACTTCAAGCCATTGGAAACTGGTTTATCCCCGATATTGGCTAGTTGGTCTTTTTGTCTCTGCCAATTATTTAGCCAGATGCTTGGCCTGGACCAGTGCATTTATAGATTGTTTTTATTGCATTTCGATTAGTTTCGAATGGGTTTTGGACGTTTTGGTCGCAGCTAATTAGAAATACATGCTGTGGAATTTGCGTAGCCGGGCCACGCTTATTTTGGCCAGGCTAAGCAGCGTGCATTAATCCGGCTAACAAGTTAATTTCATTTTTTCTGTTTGCGAGCCCCGTCGGCATTGGCAACCACCCTAAAACGCCACGTAGCCATGGAAACGTTACGAATTTTCACAACAAAAAAGTTTGCCGGCAGTGACAAAGTAAAAAACAGACAATTCCACAAACTAATCTAGAGCTTTTTTATCCTTGGCCAGGATAAGGTCGAAAAATATTCATGTACGAGTTGGGAGTGGAGCAGATTAACTGCAACGGCAGACTCATCGACTTGCCCAGCTTGGAGGTGGTGCGTCCAGGTACATACTATACATATATTGATCTGAGAAAATCCTCAAACTTTGTGCAGAGTTTATTTTACTTAAGTTTCTTGTGCATTAGCTCCCAAAATGCCCAGCGATGCTAACATTGATTGGCTGCTCCACATTTATTTTACTCGCCGCGAGTTCACGCGCTGCCGTCGCCTCATCGAACGTGAGCTGAATCGACATCTGAATCCCGAGTACCTGTACTTTGTCCAGGTGAGTGACAGCCATTGGCCAATGGCTGGTGTCTAATGTAAGGTATCTTTTCTAATTGATTGCCCTCGCCAGGGCCTAATTGACCGCGAAGAGGGCAATAACATCGAGGCACTGCGCCACCTGCAGAAATCCGTGGAGCTCAATCCGCGAAATATTGAGACTTATAAGGAAATCGGAAGGACGTTGTAAGTTAAATTGTGGTTTTTTTTTCTTCTAAAAAGTTCCTCAAGCTATTCTATTATTCAATTACATTCAAGCTTGAAAGGTCATTTGAGTGTAACTATTGATTTCATTTTCATTCAATTTAATGTCGTATTTATTACTTCTTACCTTTTCCTACCACTTGAGTCAATTTCATAATGAAATTGGTTGTTTACTCCGTTAGCTCTCAATTCAACAACTGTTTTCCCCAAATTGCTCCGAGTAGTGATTTAAACTTGTGAATTTCCAGATACCTTATGGGACGATTCAGTCAGGCTTTGGGCGTTTTTCGAGAGGCTGAGCAAAGGAGTAGCATAAAGGACCATGAAATATATCACTATTTGGGCGAGCTACTGTACAGAGCGGCCACAACCCAAACTCAGTCGGAATTGGCACGGCAGCAGCAGGATGAGTCTCGGTCGTATTTCGAGCTTGCCGTACAAACTGGCCGGAAACAGGAGAGCTATGTCCGCCTAGCCGAACTGTATCGAAAGGACAAACAGTACCAAAAGGCCATTGAAGTGCTGGAAAATTGCCTGCAGTCAGTATCCTAATGACTTGACTTGTGGTTTTGACTCGACTCCACTTTAATGATTCCAGTTTGACGCCCGAGAACTCAGAGGTGCTGATTGAAATCAGTGTTTTGTACCTGAAAATCAATGAGACCCAAAAGGCCCATGATCGTCTGGCGGAAGTCGTCGGCATTGAGCGGAAATGCTCGCCCAAGGGCTTGTTGGCATTTGGTGCCATTCTGCAGGTGTGTATGAGACACCATTTTCCCACAAATATTATTCCATTCATATTCTTTTCATTTAATTTTTGAAAGTCTCGCAACGATGTGGATGGGGCCCTCAGCAAATATAGCCAAATCGCAAACGCTGAGCCGGAAATTGCCGAGCTGTGGAACAACATTGGATTGTGTTTTTTCAAAAAGCAAAAGTTCATTGTGGTATGTGCTGGTATCCCTTTAAATGGGCATATCATTTGCCAGGACTTTAAATATTTAATGTAATTGCCAGGCCATTTCATCGCTTCGTAAATCTGTTTGGCTCTCCCCGCTGAATTACAATGCCCTCTACAATCTGAGTTTAATATATATTGCCTGTGAGTATTACACTAAAATACCTTGTGATATTTATTTTAAAGTCTCTGTGGGTGAAATATTATATTGATTCATATGCAAAAGCTATTTGCTTTGTGCAAAACAAATAGTGATAGCTGGGATATAAAATATGTTTTAGTTGCAAATAAAGAACCCATCTGGAATAGTTGGAATAGGATACAAAAAAATAAATAAAATGTTAAAAATGTTACAAAATCTCTAAAAAAAATCCTGTTCAATATGAATATATTTTCAAAGCTGTGTAAATCTCGATTGAAATGTTTCGCTCAAATGGCCAACCAACAAACATAAATACCCCAAAGGGGTAATCCATGGATTGAACAAGATATTGGCTTTGAGCCAATACAAACTGCGCACTACTGCAGTGATTGGCCTGCAATGTTAAGGCTAATGAAAAGACCTAAACAATAGAAACTATAACTAAGTGAAAGGGCTAAAAATATACGCAAAAAAACAAAACAAATAATGAACAAAAAGTGAGCCCCCAAGGCGTAGGTTAGGGACTATGGGTTGGAGGTTTTAATAAATTCTTAAAAGTGGCAAGAAAAGCCCAAGCCAAAGGCGATTCGGACCTGGGTTTCTTTTGGCATTGTTTGTACTATTCCATCCATAAAGAAGAGCATCTGTTGTTTACTTTACTTGGCCGCAGCTGAACAATACGCCAGTGCCTTCCACACTCTCGCCGCAGCCATAAACCTGCGCAAGGATAATGCCGAGTGCTACATGCTCCTGGGCTGTAAGTTTAAGTAACCCTTTTGTGAAATACAGATGTACACTTAGAGAATTACTTTCTCTATATTTTTTTCCATTTTTATTTGAACCAAAATTATATTTTTTATTTAAATATCCTTTTCTTTCATTTTGCTAAAGTATACCAAAAATTTTTCCAGGTACATTTCTTATAATAACATTAACAATATTGTATTAACCTCGGCAGTGTGTTTACGTAAGCTGGACGACATGGAAAATGCCTTCGTGGCCCTCGAGCGGGCCAGCAGCATGTCGGTGGGTCCTCAGGGCGGCGGACGGAATCCCCTGGTGGTGCTGAACTTTGCCCTCTTCTGCTACGAAACAGGTCGATTGGCAATGGCCACCGAACAGTACAACCGGTTCATGAGCCAGGCCCAGGATCTTTTGTTGCCCACGGAAGTAAGTCGCCTCAGATTTCAGCACTCCCAGTGGATGTATGCTGTGGCCCATGAATAGACGACAACAGGAATTCCATTGCGTAATTGGCCACAAAATCAAGCAAAATTTAACAAGAAATACCACGCTCCACCAGCCAGACTGGGTGAATTCCTAGAATCTCCACTTACTCACTCCATTCTATCCATTTCCCTGCAGTACAAATTCCAAGCGACCAAATTGAAATCCCTGCTGCGAATCTCGAGCCAGGGCAATGGTATACTCCTTGATCCGATGGATTCCGAGGAATCCGATTTGGGACGAAGTCGTACAACAGATTTGCCGCCCGACGAGCTGCCCCTGGAGGTGAACGCTGTTGTTAGCCAGAACTAACATTGAATTATTAATGGTAATGGACAATAGACAAGCCACCACGAATTTGAATGTAACGCACATCAAACATTTATTTGAACGTGTTCACAAACTTATTTATAAATCGTAATATATATAAGCAGCTTATGTGGTAACCAATGTAAAATTCATTGGCACTCGGCTTCTTAATCAGAGTTCTCAAAAGAATAATCAAAACAGCACTTGATGTTTCCAGTTAGGAGGAGAGAACTACTCGGGGCTCGCGGAGTACTTTCTGTCTTCCTAACGTTCTGTTTCAGACATAGATTAGCTTTAGATTATATCCTTGAATTCCTGTGGTTAGTCCTTAGTGGAAAGTAAATGTCTCGTATTAGTACACCATAGGCTCTTGTACTGTCTTATCCTAGTTTAGTGGCTTAAGTGCTAGAGTGTATGAATCTGAAACAGCAACCGGATAATGCATAAATCTTAATTCTCTAGTTTAATTGGAACGAAATGGCACTTCTTAAACAGCCAAATCACGAAACTAAATTTTAAATCTCATCACAAAATCATCGTTTGTCCTTCTCACAAAGTCCTGTGCAATTTTTTTTTCGTTACGAAACCTAACGAAACTTTTATAAAGTTTAAGATTTAGAAATTCAAATGGAGCTTTGCCAAGACATCTTTGATGGTCTTAACCTATTCCCCGTAGATCGATCCTGCACCTGGCCTTGGTTTTTTGATCCTTCTCGTAATCACATCTTGGAGACTCTCCCATCTTATCACCTTTACACACATGTCGTGGTTACTCGGGTCAAGCGAGTCATCTCTGTGCTCCCGAAGTGCCGCTTCATGAAGAGCGACCGGAAGGTGGTTCGGAACTGCTTCGACATCAGACCGTAGAGCACGAATCCCACGGCGGCATTGATCAGCGCCAGGAGGTCCATAAGCTCCCCGAAGGGCGGATAGCAGTGGGCGAAGAAGCATTTTTCCATCACCCCGGACAACAGGCCCAGCAGTCCTTGAGGAAACTCCGTGACCAGGAACAGCACTAGCACAGCCACCAGGAGCAGGGTGGTGCGATCGTTACGTCGATCACATCGCGGTGGCCTAAAAAAATACACAAATAAGAGTTTAAATAATATAAAGAAAATATATACAAGAAAAAGATAATCACCTTTTGGACTTTGTTTCGTTAAGGTTGAGCTGGATGGCATACTTGGCGGGATTATTGTAGTCCCGAAGCTTTAAACGACGCCTCGAGGCTTCGCACAGGACGTGCATTAGCACGGTACTGATCACAATTAAGATGGCACAAGGCAGCAGTTTGATTAGCACGGAATGTATCCAGAAATTAAATCTATAAGATGGTTGAAAACCATAGTATTTTTATTGTTTTTTAGAGGTAAGTTTAGAGTAGAGTTAATAATAAATTAAGTAATAAAGACTAGATACAAAGCTAATATATTTTTAAACGATGTAAATTGTGCGAAACTACTGTTGAGTTTAAGAAAATTATTACAAAATTGAAGCAAAATAAATACTACTATATTATTTCCTATTAACCCACCTGTATAGCACTGAGTCCTGATCGAAATACACATGATACATGGCCTCCGATTGGACATTGTCCACGTCATACGTCTCACGGACCTTGAACACAAAGTACGTGGGCAGGCAGAGGATCGGGGAGAGGACGAAGGGCAGGAGGATCGCCTCCCGGGAATGTGCTAGCAGGAAGTTGGCACAGCCCCCGTTCGGATGTCTGTGGAATAGAGACGGTAACATTTGGCTATAAACCAGAGACGGGAAGAAGAGAAGAGAAGCCACATTGCTGACGTGTTAATCAGATTAGCCGGATGTTGGTTTTGCATTGCGGATGTATTTATGAATCGGTGCCCAAAATGAGTGGTAATTCGCAGAAAGGAGCATGCAAAGCTGGCTGAAAAGTGTCTATTCCACTCACCTGATGGCCACGTATCGCCACACGGCCAGCGTTACCGTCAGTCCAATCGAGATGGTGTGCAGGATCTGGGTGAAGTGCATGTGTATCAGCAGACACACCGCCCAGGTGTAGCTCAAATCCTTTTCACCTGCACATCAACACACATTCAGCGATTAACCTTAAATATTTACAGACAGTGGCAGCTTTGAAACTTACCAGGACCCATATATATGTATTGATAGGACGTGTAGGGTATATACTCCAGCATCACAAACATATCTGCCACTGCCAGCCACTTCAAGATATTATTTATTGGCGTCTTGGCCATTTCCTTTCTGGTCAGAACCATTATGTTCAAGATGTTTGCTATCGTCCCGAATATGCAAATCTATGTGGTGGAAGGACAAAACGTTTACTGGCTGACGATAAAGTGTGTTATTTGTTAAAAACGAAACTTTACCCCCCACCCCCCCACACTCTCGATTGATTGAGCCCCACACCCGTGCGGAATCGTAAGCAGGGTGAATATTTTATTCATTCAGCTCGTGATGTACGAGCATTTTCAACTCACTGGGCAAGAACGTTTTAAGTTTCAGTGCCAACTGAAACTTTTCCTACTATTTCAACAGTCAACCCTTTTCTCAACGTCGCCTTGAAAAAAATAAACAAAGTCTCTGACGGAAAGTTTCTTCAGATTCAAAGGTTTTTCCAATCGAAAAAATAATTAAATTAGTGAGCGTCAACCCTTTGTTTAGGCGCTTCTATTATTTTATTTTTGGCCAAACTTAAATTCTTTGACAAACATGAAAAGGACTCTGGCAGGCAAACAAAGATTTCCAGGATTGCTAAACAGATTTATTGGCTTTAGGCAAAAACCCTAATTCCCTAGAATTAATAAAAGGGAAAAAAACAAAAACACATTAACGCCTTAACCACATCAAATATAATTTATAGCCATCGAAGGAGCCCTTTGTGCCGTATCCTTTTAAAGAGACCCCCCCTGAGGAAAAAACAAAGGACCCAAAAGTCAGGCCCTCAAAAAAGCCAATGTGATTTGTAATTTTGTGGAAAAGCTACTTTAATTCAAGCAACAAGACGCACAAAACGAAAGAACGAGAGATTTCCTGGACTTGGGTACAGAGTTCAAAGGTGACACAGTCCCTTGAATTCATCAACGGACTGAGATCCTTTCACTGAGATTTCGGTTCCATTCATAAAATGTCTTGGCCTTTCCGGCTTATCATTAGTCAAAAGTGTCTTTTGTTTTTCGTCCGACTCGAATCGCTAACGGAAGTCCAACACTTACCATAAGAGAAACATAGCCATGGATGTTATTGTAGGCACGCAGCCAGCTGTAGATTTCTCCCTGACAGTAGCCATGACACTCGTCCACCTGGTTGGTCAGATTCTTTCTCTGGTGCTGGTTATACTCGTGCATTAGTTGCACAAACTTGTCAATGTCGCTGCTGGTGAGCTTAAAGTCCTTCAGAACTGTCTCATTGAATGGCAGCCGGTGTTGGGAATTGGATTGTGGCTGCGACATATTGAGGCTGGTGTCCTGCATCATTACAGTTCTATTAGAGTCCCTTAGGTAAAGGAGTTTCTAGCTAAAAGAAACCTGAAACAAATGAATAGATAAAATCTATGAATAAAGTTGTGATTTGGTAGTAGTTTTATATTTAATATTTATCTCTCCAATTTACTCATTAATTTTTTCCAGTGCTTATATTAATTATCCAAGTATTAGCTGTAAACCCCCGTGGGAAAAATCACAATTGGTAGTAAATTATACAAAATCCTGTTGTCTGGACGACCAGATTGCAAAGTGCATTGTCCAATTCTGTTGCAATCACCAGGGAGTTTGTTAACGAAACTAAAACCACAATTTTCAAACTAGTTTTTAGCACACATTTGTCTCTTCAAATACCAACAGGTAGTGTTTACCAAATTAGTGTTTCATTCCGAGGCAGGAGCCTCCCACACTCCAAGCCCAACAATGCAAATTTTAGAAACTCGTGCCACCGCCCAGAACTCCTACATAATAGGAATACTATGGAATATTGGCCATAAGACTATAGACAATTTGTGTGAGTATTGCGGCAACAGAGCTCGAAACATAATTAACGAAATATTTAATGCAACTGTGAGTGGTTAGAGTGCAGCAGAACGCACCTGTCCTACTGTCTGGCCGCCGGTGATTTCCAGCTGCCTGGGCGTAGCAGGCAATTAATTGGATACACAGACAATTAGAGCAATCGAAATGGAAATCAAAAGTTAGAGTAAATATACCCAAATAAATTGATAAATATTAAGTTATGTTTATTTTACAAGTTCAGAGAAGGAGAGTGGAGTTTTCAAAATATCTTCAAGTTCCTTGCCACATTTCTACATTGATTTATAATTTAAACAATATTTTTTTTTGTCTGTATAGTTATGTTTAGTTATCAGTTGGCAGCTGGCATAGGAAAGCGCTACCAGATCACTCAGTCTGTGTGAGTTGGCCAAATCAAAGTCTACATGTAACATGTCCACACGTCGTCGAAGGTGTTGCATACAGCTAATGGCCCCAGACGAATCAGAATCCAAATCTGAATCCTGTTCGCAATGGATTTCGCAACTAAATCAGCACCACTTGATTGCCCGATTGCATTGCCACCATGTGGTATGCATAATTTTGAATTACTGGCTCTCGACTCACTGGAGTCTCATTGGGTTTGGAGCTTGACAGACACATTCAAGCCAGTATTGCCTGTCTGAGGTTTGAAGTTGATGGATTGGCCTTTCGATTTTGTCAAACGACTTGCATATGTTGCGGGCAATTATTCTTTATGGCCAGTACATTCAATCGATATGAAATAATAATTCTTAAGTGGTTGATAAATAAAGATTTTTATTTCATATAAATTGGTATTTGTATTGCAAGATTATTTCATTTAACCTCTACCTGTTTATGGTGGAAAGGTCTTAACCTTTCTGGTGGAATATGGCTTATGGAACTCTATAAAAACCTCTAATAAAGTGAGTTTCAAGCTCCATATTTATTTCAAGACTTATTGCAAAGAAGTCCTAAGCTTTTCTCTTTCTTATTTAATAATTCAGCTTGAAAGCAGTGAATTAAATATACTGGCTGTATAACCCCAGATTACCAATTAACTTAATTCAAATTTAATTGTTAGACTGCAAAAAAAATAAAGCTTTATGGACGCTTTCTTGGAGACACGCCCTCCCCTAGGCAATTATCTAGTTAGGTCCTGCTGCCATCTAGTCGGAAAGTCCTTTTCTATTCACAATACGGTGGCCTTGACGAATACGTACAAACAGGTGGCGCACCCCACACACCCACACCCTCACGCACACACACTCGCACCGCCATTGAAGAAAAACAAAATGGCGCCATCAACTGACAGCTGCAGATAAACACCAAAGGCACTCCAGGCTGCTTTTCCTTTTTTTGCCAACCACTGTTGTTCTTCCTTTTTGTGGCATTCGCGATGCCTTTAATTAACGTTTCGCTTGTCAAATATGCCTTCTGCCTGTGTGTGCGTGTATTTCCTCATTTTTTATTGCCACATTTTCCAGAGGGAAAGCTCTCTTATCGGATACGGCTCAGACCGTATAGCCCCCGCTGGGCCAATTGGCTGAACGATCCAGGAGCACCATCTAGGAGGCCTTTGTGGCCCATTATATCGCCTAATTATTAAGAACGTTAAACTGTGAAACTACCGCTTAAACGTTAAACGTTTACGCATCCATATGACTACTGGCTGTGAGCCCTTATCAGATGGCCCCAATGCCACCACATCTTGGCTAAAGCCACATTTTCAATTAGCCAAGGTAAACAAAGCAAAGCATTTGAATTGTCAGCATTTGTTACCGTCGGCTGTTGAATATGAAATGTTTGTTTGCAAATTGGAAATGTAAATGGTTTATTGGTATCATTTGTCAGGCCGTTTTGTATTTGCCAGCTGCATAAAAAGTGGTTTTACTTTTATACAAAATAAAACAGATTCAATCAGCCATTGTGCTTGAAATCATAAATAATTGATATGAAATATGTATGATTTTATCTGACAATTTCAGCCACTTTGATTTAAATTCTGTGTTATTATTAAGTGCCAACTATATATATGTACATATTAATTTATTTAATTTGTTAAGTAAATCCTAAGAGTAATCTTCTTACTTTACAAGTTTAATGATAATTTAAATTCAGGAAAATATACCTCTACTTAAAGCCTTAAAACCTACTTCCCCGGCAAGGAAATAATTTGTTGTTTATGACTTTGGCATTTTATAAACAGAGTTTACTGGTCAATAGAGCTGCAGATAATTTATGGAGGCAATAGACACTCAAAGTAAGTACTAGAAATAATTTTGTGAATTAAAAAAAATGCTTAAGCTGCGCGCCCGACGCGACAGGCGACTGGCACTGGCACTGGCGTTCTGTCAGATACTTGGATACATGGCCAAGCTCAGAGATACACGCACACACCACACATTGAGATACTTTGAGTCGCCCCGGCTGGCTTGTTTGTGCAATTTTGGCTTGATGTGGGCATTTTATATGCTTGTATATAAACTATTTCTCGATGCGTGTCTTGTGTTTGCTTTTTGCCGATTTTTACTTTATTTTTGGGCCTAAATAGCTTTTGCCTAATGAGTGCGTTTGACTTAGTTTTGAGTGAGTTTCTAACAATCCACGCACCGCCGAAAAAATCGTATAAATAATCTCGTTCTGACTGCCAACAGTGTTAGTTCAATTGAAGCCAGAGTGCGAACAGCTTCCATCCTCGTCAGTCATAAATCATTAACAATCCAACACAATGAACTTCACTGTAAGCTATTTTCATTCTAAATAACTAAAGTGGAAAACACAGTGCAGACATTTGAAAAATTTCTAATATTCCATTCCTCTGGTATTTTCTTGTTTCGGTCGTTACGCGCAAATGGAAAATTCTTGGGCAACAGTTGCTACTCCTCCTCGCCTGTGTTGCTGGCATCCTGGCCGCACCCGCTCCTGTCCCCGAGGAGCAGCAGGAGTCGTCCGCGAAGGCTAAGCGAGGACTCTCCCTGGGCTTGGGCTACCATGCTCCGTTGGTGACAACCTCGCATTACGTGGCTGCACCGACCATCGTGCACCACGCTCCAATAATCTCGCACGCCCCCCTCATCGCCCACGCCCCCCTAATCGCCCACCATCCGGTGTCGTCGGTGTCCTATCATCTGCCCTCCTACCACTCTATTCACCATTTTTAATGAGCCATTGACGTGAGCAGCAGTACCTTCAGCAGCAGCAGCACCAGCAACAGCAGCAGCATCAAAATTGCAACAGAATATAGAATATATATATGTTAAATTTCCTGAAATTTTTATGAGCATTGGACTCTACCTTTCCTGGACATTTCCCAACTCCCCCTGCTTTTGTAAATAAAAATTGTCGTCGAGCAATTTAAGCTGGTTTCAGTGTTTTTCTTTTAGTGGAAAGTGTTTGTGGGGTGTTATTATTTCAAAAATCTGACAATCTAACTTTAATTGAATTGTGAAATCTGGAATTTCTTTCAAAACTTTCAAATTAAGATAGAAAATTTCAGAAGCTGGCAAAAATATTTTGGAATTATTTAATAAAGTCAAAATTGTTTGACAAAGTCTTTCACCCCAAACCAATAGTCTTTAATATTTAATAAATTTTAGTTCGTGAAAAATCTACCCATTTTGAATAATAAATTTAGTTTCATAATTTGCTAAAATTTCACATTTTTGGTAACTAAACCTTTTTTAATATTTAATCAAAAATGCACAGGATATTAAGTTAAAAGCAATTACCACCAGGTCAAATAACACTTCATAAAATTAAACTAAAACTATAGAATGATTTTCCCTTAAAGATTTAATTAAATTGGCCACAGGACGCTGGGAAAATAAAATATTGCCTGTGGTTCTAACCCGAGGCTACTTGTATACCAAATAAAAATAAATATTCCCTTAAGTTAGCAGCAGAACCACAATTTTCTTAAATATTATTTTTTATACTTTTCCCTCATTTATTTTGCAAACACAAGTACCAACTAAGCTGGCTTATGCTGTGATTATAATCCCAGCACTTAAACACTTGTCCTTTGAACCACCCAGCCAGCGAGCAGAATTTTAAACATTTTCCAACTAAATTATAGCCATGATTGTGCTGCGCAACAGTGGCCATTAGAAGCTGGCATTCGCTTCGCCCCTTGACGGCTTTAACGGCCAACGAAGAAGGGCTTAAATTGTAACCATTTTTAAGAGAATAGCTGCATCTAAATACCATACTTTTTTATGCAACATGCTTTCCTCCACCGATCCATCATCTTAGCTTGACTTGGTCAGAGTTATAAGAAAAATTGCTATAAAATAGCTATTGAATTTCCTGTTTATGAAAAATAGGATGGCTCTTTAAAGAGCTATTTACTATAAAGTTGATGTAATGAAAGTGCAACTATTTAGTTTGAAAAATTACGCTTCCAATTTATTTACTAAAACTACTTGACTAAATTATTTCGCCCAAAACATTATTTAAATGAAAAAGACAACCAAGTATGAAAATAAACTTAAAAAATGAAAAACAGTGCAAGTAATTTCTGTGCAAGTTGTGACATCTACATTCTTACTTAATAACTAGTTTCATTAAACTTAATTTATACGTTTTGATTATTTCATTTTCTTTCCACGGCAGTCAAACTAAATTTTAAACATAATTAAACGAAAGAAACTTTCAAAAGACAAACTATCAAACATTCTTCGTTTGTGGCCACTTAGTTTATTTTGTATTTTATTACAAAGGTTATTAATTTGCACTGATTTAGACCTAAATCTAAAGAAACTTAAAATCGTTGATTAAAACTGAAATCCGCCACATTGCAATCCATGATGTAGCTTAGTCAGAGAAGCTGTCGCTCCAGTAGGTGGTGGTGAGCGGGGCCACCGACTTGAAAAGATCCCGGCCCTGCCCATGATGGCCCTCGGAACGGCGCTTGCCCGAATTTCCATGCGAGTAACCGTCTCGGCGGCCTTGCGACGAGCGATTCTCCTCCGACTGGCGCTGGCAACCGATGCTCTGATGGCGCTGCAGTCGCTGCTGCGTGAGGAAGGTGCGCTGGCAGCGTTTGCATTCGTATATGAATCCATGCTCGTCATGTTTCACCGCCATGTGGCGCTTCAGTTCGGCCCGGAGACGGAATACCTGGCTGCACAGCTCGCAGCGGAAGCTGGCACGCTCGTTCTCGTGGCGTTCCAGATGCGTCTTGTAGGCCCACTCCACCTTGAACTTCTTGCCGCAGATCTGGCAGGTGTGCTCTGTCCGCTCGTGGGTCTTGCGATGCAGCACATAGGATTGCTTGCGGGAGAACGTCAAATCGCACTGGTTACACTCGAACGGACCCACCGACGGCGTCGATGAGCTCTGATACTTTTTCTTTTGGCCACTGGACGGTTCCTCGTCATCATCCAAGGGCCTCTTGCGCGGACGTCCTGGCTTCTTCTTCTCTATCAGCTTCTCACTTTCATCAGATTCCACGGAATCGGAATCCGGACTCGTTGATCCCCCCACATCGGATACCTTGAATTCAGCATCATCGTTTAGCTCCTCTTCGTCGTCACTGGAATCGGATACTGGCGCGTCGATGACCACATATCCGCGGGGCCTACGCACTTTGTTCTTGCTCCTGGACAAGCGCTTGCGCAGACTTTGTTCGGTGGATTCCAGTTGCTTACGCAGCTGTATGGCAATGGAAAGGCTGCCCAAGCACTTGGGGCAAATAAACTGGGGCATAAAGTCCTTCGGCAAGATCGACACATTCGGACAGATGACCAGCAGCATGTCCGCGGGTGTACCATCGATTTGCTTATCGAACAGACTGACTAGATCCTCTTTGCTGGTGCAGACCCGGCACTGGTTCTCGTCCACAGGTTCTTCCTCTTTTTTCTCCCTGGCCGGTGCGGCAGTTTCGCCTTCGGCCAGTTCGGCGGGCTCGTCACCAGTGATTATTTCGCCTTCGCCCTCACCCTCTTCCTCGGTTTCAAAGTCGCCTTCACCTTCTTCATCGGCATCACCGTCTTCGGCTTCGTCGCCCTCTTCGGTGGCTTCATCTCCAGCTTCCTCACCCTCGGTGCCTTCCTCGGCGGCTTCGTCTGCAGCTTCCTCGTCCTCATCGGCTTCTGTGGAACGTTTCTTTTTGTCAGCGGCTGCATCAACATCGTTTTCCGTATCCTCCTTGTCGTCTTCTGTTGCTTCCTCTTGGCCATCGGGCTTAGATTTGTCCTTTGCTCCGGAGTCCAGCTCTTCGGGCCTCTCACCATCTAGGTACTCGGCCTCGCCCATCTCCGCATCTTGATCCCGAGACCTATCTACCGGTGCACCTGCATCTTCCTGCAAAAAGTAAAGAGTACCATGTTGTCAAGTCGTTTCCTTGGCGCCTTGCTTCTTGCTTATCTTACCTCTAGGTAGTCTATAATCTCGCCTACAGTCCCAGCGACGCCAGCCTCCACCGGCTTGGCGCCTGGCTCCTGTTGCTGCTGTTGGTCTAATTGTTGCTCTTTGTTGCCCTGGCCGTCCTCCCTGTTATCATGCTGCTGCGAGCTAATCTCAGTGCTTCCATTAGTTTCAGCCGCAGGCGTTATGTCGGCTTCCATTTCGCTTTTCGGTATGTTTGCAAAACAGGGGCGGGGGAGTCTTATGCCTTTTTCTCTCTTTTTTGGCGGGGCCACCCGGCAACTTTTACCATTTACTCAATTCCTTGAAAATTTCTCGACGCGCACTTGTTTTTCCAATGTCTTTCTATGTCCCGGTTGTTATTTATCACTTGCAGGACGATTTCCTTAGGTTCTTGGACACAAATCTGTGAAAATGCAGTACCGCGACGCGATGCAGCGTTACAATTTTTTTCTTTGCGCCATGTTGTATGTATGTATGTATGCTAGGGTGGATCGATTTTGGAATCGAAAAAGAGGATAAGAGTGGCGTTATCTCTCAAGAAATGGCGACAAAAAACCAACTAAGCCCCTGGTTTTGACTTAAAAAATAAAGTTTATATTTTGCTTTAACTATTTCAGCATGAACTCAAGGGAAATTAATAATTTTTAATAGCTCACAGTGAATTAAAAACTTCGATAAAAACCGAGCCACCCTAGCGCAGTTGGTTGTATGTATAAGAAACAGCTGTTCGGTTGTCGATAGTTGTGCGCATGTGCGATAAGAAATCGATAGCACGCACTGGCGCGCGCAATTTGAAAATCCCACATACATAAAACAATGATTTAAAGGAAATGTACGACTATGCAAATTTTTTAGAATATATTTCAAGTCCATAAAAACAGCAGTAAAATCATGCGTCAAACAGCTCGTCTTACCTGCAACTTTTTTTTTTCAAGGAAAAATTCATGTCGCGTGTTTGCCATAAAACTGGGGAAAAACAAAAGCCCCCCCTAATATTCACCCTGCAAACTGACGCTTGAAACAAAAACCTTGTAGTCTTGACTTTTCAACACGGCGAAATAAAAATTACGTGATTTGCATAATTTTCCGCCCGCTGTTGTGGGCATTAATTTGAGAAATGCCTCCTACATCAACAATACATTCAACACTTTGTGTTTCTCTGTTTTCCTTGGCGCTTGGCGCGGAAATATAAGCAGCACTTAGTCTGGCTTTTACAATTTCAAATTGCCAAAAGTCCTCAAATACCGCGTATTACTTAAATGCAAATATTTCCATTAAAATCAATTCCCAGCTCCCACAACACGACTGTCGCTTTGCGTCCGTGTTTGTCATCAAATAAGAAAACACATTTCAATAAAGTGCCATCCATTCCTTTTCCCCTGTAAAAAAAATAATGCCGCCCCAGGGATGACAAGAGCTTGATATTTATTTCAATTATGGGATGTGGCGACCCAGAGAAATTCTTGCACTAATGCGCCTGATTTTCCGGATGTCGCCTTCCCAGATTCCTGTGCGTGACTACAAGTTCACCAAGGACACTTGAAAAAATATGATTTTCTTTATGAAATTTAACCTTAACTTTTAATGAGCATGGAATGACAAAACATGTTTAAACGACATCGAAAAACGGTCATCGAAATTAAATAATAAAATAATTAAAAAACTTGTTTACAAATACCTTTGAAACAGATATGGCATGGACTGCAAGGTAAAAAATATTTCAATGAAAATACTTTCATTGTAGTGTGTAATTTAATAATTTTCTATAATGAGATGTGAATAAAATCATATATTTTATATTATTTTTCCTCGTGCAATTACGTTAGTCTGTCTGGCATTTATTTCTGTTGCTCTTCTGCATGATTTACGTCAACAATTATCGCAGCAAGACGTGCTCGGGCACCTACTTGACAATAACATCGTTTTCCCGGCTGGGTTCCCATCCAACCTGTTCCATCGTCCTGTTGGGCAAAATCGCTTATGACACCCGACTGCAACGGCGGAAGGAGATGGGTCTGGTTTCGAAGTAAAAAGATAAATATAGCGGCCCATCGTCTGTGGCAGAGATAAAAAATTCCGACCATGTCAACTGACACATACGCATCCCATTCTCTATTAATGCGGCCTGAGGCGACACTGGGTGATTAATTATGCAGGAGAGCCGTCGCATCCCAAAGACAAACAGCCAGCATATGCTCCTTGGCGAAGGCTTAAGCCTACATCGCAACAACATCCTGGATATATGAAGCTTCTATTCCACATAAAACAGGTGTTTTCTCTGAAGTCAGCAGTTAATTCTTGGAAAAAGGTGGCGCTAGATTCCTCTCCTTGGAATGCCAGAAGCAAGTGCGGCTGCTCTGGCAACCACAGGCTGAGACTTTAAAGTCCTTTCCCTTTAAATTGAAAGGTAATAATGACAAATGAACTTAATTAAAGGACAATCCATTATAAAACTGGATGAGAGCATAAGAGGAGTAATTAAGCGAAATGCACTTACCACATAAAAGTAAAATGTGAATTTCGTACCGAATGGGGTAATTAAAGGTAAAAGGATAATACATAATTTATATCCTTTATAAACACAAGTCATTAATTAAAAATAAAAAACTTGGCTTTCTGACTATGTTTTTAAATAATTTAAAAACAACAATCCGCAATCCCGCCGAAAAGAAAAAAAATATATATTTATAAAATTTTTCTCTTAGATTTTAATTTATTTGGAATGCCATTTAATGCATTTCAGTCGTTCCGCTCAAGAATCAGAAAAGAATTGAATAAATAATAATAAGTTAAATTGTGCTCCGAGCATTTTAAAAAATTGGATGATTATTGTCAAAAATGTCTAATCGCAGTGGACCACATCCAAGCATTTTCGTGCATTTTGAAGGGGAAAACCCAGAAAATTTGACAAAAAATCTAAAAAATATTTTATTTTAATTTTTTTGATTTTGATGCAGTTTTATGGAAAATCGATCAACTATTCGTTCAAGGTATTCCGCTTAAGAATCGGATGATTATTAGCAAAGATATGGACATCGTGGTGGAACAGATAGTGCCTCCATGCATTTTTGTGCTTTTTGAAGGGGATACCCCAGAAAATTTGACAAAAAATCTGAAAAATATTTTGTTCTCAGATTTTGATGCAGTTTTATGGAGAATCGATCAACTATTCGTTCAAGGTATTCCGCGTAAGAATCGGATGATTATTGGCAAAGATATGGACATCGCGGTGGACCACATAGTGCCTCCATGCATTTTTGTGCATTTTTGACAAAAATCAAAAATGCCCAAGAAAATTTGACAAAAAATCTGAAAAATATTTTATTCTCAGATTTTGATGCAGTTTTATGGAAAATCGATCAACTATTCGTTCAAGGTATGCCCCGTAAGAATCGGATGATTATTGGCAAAGATATAGACATCGCGGTGGACCACATAGTGGCTCCATGCATTTCCGTACTTTTTGAAGGGAATACCCCAGAAAATTTGACAAAAAATGTAAAAAATATTTAAGAAGTGGAACCTTTCGTATCATGTGACAAAATAGATTACTTTAAAACGATTTACCTCGTAAAAGATATCTGTGAAAGAATCCATTACTTAATGGCAATAAAATGAATTTCTGTTTAATATTTAATGCCGATTCAAGGCGTTTCCTTCGTCTAAGGATAAGCACGCCCTGAAGACATAAACACTTTATTTAAATGTTACTTTGGCTTTCGGTCTGAGCCATCAGATAATGTAATGAGTTTGTTAAAAGAGGCCTGCTTTCAAATTTCGTGATATTGCGACTAACAACATGCTGCTTCCGCTGTCATTTTGTACGTGTACTTCAATTGAAATGACAAGCAGACATTTCCGAATTTTTTATGCGGCGCAAACAAGATATAAGAGGAACAAAAATAAAAATTAAAAGATTTTCCCTGTTGGTTTATATCAAAGGAAGCCTACGCATCTGATTAATGTTTAACACATCCGTTTATCTTCTCTGGATTCGAGTGCTTGCTTTAATAAATAAATTATTCCCAAGAAAATGCAAATCATAGACAGCCAAAGTTTCCTCCCCGCAGGCAGCTTATGAAGTGAACTTTTGCAAGTAAAATAACTTTGCGCCATTTCGAGGAACTTTCATAACGGTATTACCTTTCCAATAATATGATTTCCACCTGCCAGCTGAGCCTAAGCATCACGCTCCACGAAAGGTGATGAATCGGATTTGCAGCAAAAAATACAAAAGTGATGCGTGTGGCACGTGTGCTGGGAAAACCTTTCAGCAAAAAGTCAATCGATTCGCGAATAATTATCCATTTTTACAGATATTCAAATTAAAATCCAATTAAAATGCATCGTTAACTGAAGGGCCATCTGTATCGATTAATCAACATCTCGATGGTATTTATAATTAAATAGAACATGTTTTTTTGGCAGCTGTAAAGACACGACACGGCGTATTAATTACGCCGTACTGGATCGCTTAATTAGGGACGTATTATCATTAATCTTTAACCAAACCATATGAAACTGTTGTAGCGCTCTGCAGTAACTTAATTGAAATGCCTCTCGGTTATTGTGTTAGGACTAGAGCTTGGAAGCTTTTGAAATTTGAGGCGAATGCTAATGGTTGGAGTAATTAATGAAACATTCATCAAATTCTAAAGCTGGTGTAAATGCTACAGACACTCCACCCCGTTCATAATCCTTTAGCACATTACGCATACGCAGCGTGCTCCTAGCTGCCGGCATACAAACAGTGTCGGAAAACAAATGGAAGTGTAAATAATAGAGAGCAAACAAGTGTGTATACTTTGTGCTTCTTTACGCCAACATTATAATATCCCCCGAGAACGTACTCAACGAAGAAAAATACAAATTTATTAGCGTATAATTTTAAAAAGCCCTGGGGTAACATGTTTATGCTTAGCTCTTACTTAGCTATTTTATTTTTTTGTTGTATTTTTACTCTGACTTTAAATACCCTGGGCAGATAGAATAGATATACATCCATGAGTGGCTGTCTGATTTGCACACGACCCAAATTAAACGGGTAGCGACTGTAGATAAAATACACGAAAGCAAATATGAATGGCCCTAAGTCTAGGCCCCTGTATTATTATTATTGTTATTAATATGAACTCACACTCGTTGGGTGCCATAGATCACGGTTATTTTTTGTGCCTTCGGTTCTACCCATCTGACAGGCTAATAAACGGAGCGATAAGAGGCTTTACGGGTGCCTCATTAGCCACCCCGCCCACCCATCTCCCACTTACCGATTGGTTTTTCCGCGAACAATTGCCATGTGTCAGACTCGGCTGGTTCCTTCCTCGGTCTTGGCAATGGCTCTTCCTTTCTTCGGCGCTCCTTTCTGACAGGATTGTCAATGCGGCACGTGTCTGCATTAGCATTACATGACTTAAACTGATTACAGACATGGCCGCAATACACCCAGACACGACTCCTTCTCGAGGCCCCAAAAGAATACAATTTCAATCCATTTTTGGAATCTAGACGCCGCCGCTGCCGCCGTTCGCCTTAGAAGTTGAGGTATTTTGAATAGACTTTTTAATTTGCCGCCACGCAAAGAAATTCCCAAGTTGACGTAATTTATGAAACGAACGAAATACCAAAATTTTACTTTCTTTTGGCTCCCGACCAAGCGGCAAATTAATCGAACCGGTTTGTTTATAAATCAGCATCAAACAGCCAACATTAAATGGCGACAAATAACCGAACGATTCTCGTATTTGTATCTTTCATCTTTCACCGACTTCTAAATAAATATATATTGCTGTGTTTTGTGTGTTTTTTGGTTAGTGGGGAATGCCCAAACCGTCTAGAGAACAAGGCCAAAAGAAGATCAAAACACAAAGGCAAAATATAAACACAGCTTTTTTTTTTTGCCCAGATTCGTACAATGAACTGTCATATGCATAATACGTATGTTGTGGCAAAAATATTCAAACAGATAGCATATCGTTTTAATATGAGAGACTGAAATTTGGCAAACATCGACTAGTAAATATACTTTATAGGAAAAATTTAACAAATAATATATGTCCAAAAGTTAGAGGATTAACTAGTTTAGCTTCACGATTTTTGGTTAAAAAAAACTCATAAAATATATGAAGAATATCTTCTTTATAAAAGAATTCTAAAGATCAAGATCATTATTAGTTTATTATAAAATAAAATTCTATATGGTTTCTCCCATTTTTATTCTAATATATAACCCACTTAAGAATTATGAATAGTTAAATAGATTATCAATTTGCATCATTCTTTCTTTTTCTAAAATTATCTTGGATTGTTATGCTTTCCTCCAAGGTGTCCAGAAATTCCGCCTCGAATCGTTTGTTCTTTTGCGAAACTTGTTTTCCGGCTCCGAGTGCGGACATTCCGCGGATTATTATATATTGTTGGGGCAGATGGCACTGCCATAGAAATGGGTAAACCGAAAAACCAAAACAAGAATCCAATTTCTAAACAGCTGGTGGAGAACAAGCTTCTCATACCAGTCTCCCTCTCCTGGGCTGGACTTTCATTCATCTCGTCTGTGGTTTTCGTATAAATAGCTGCGGTCACAGCGGATTCAATTAGACTTCAAGCCAACCTCAAGAACTAAACTCAAGCCAAAGCCCAAAAATGTCGAGATTCATCGCCGTCGCCTTTGCCATCCTTGCCATCTGCCTGATCCTTGTCAGCGCCGCCCCCGCCCCGCCCCAGCTTCTGGATGCCCAGACAGCCATCCAGAAAATCATCGGTAAGATTTAAATCGTTTAAGAGGACTTCCACACCACTTAATGGCATTCTTTACGATTTCCCTTACAGATGCCTACAACCGCATCCCCGGACCTTCGGTCGTCCATCCCTGGGAGGTGGCTACTGTGATTGACCCCAACACCTTTGTGGCCCACTTTTAAAAATCCTTCTCTGACTCTGCTACCTAACTTAACTAAATGGCTAAAATAAATTTCCTAGAAAAATAATAGTTAAATCAAAATGAAAATGGCTTTTAATTTGAAAGATTTCTTAAATAGCTCTAGCTTTAAGGGCTTCTGAGAAGATTGTGATATAATTAGTTAGCTTTAAATAGTTTTCTTGGAAAGAATAGTACTTAGAATAGTACTTCAAATAGCAAATTGTGCCATGGAAATATTTGCATATAAAGCAAATCGAGCTTTGAAATTATTTTGACTTTTCCCAACCACCGGATGATGAGTTTTGTGGCCAGAAGTGGATTTTCCACAGAGAACTTTGTGGCTTTTGGGGGGGAGGTCGACAGATGTGGAGATCAACTAAAGTTGGAGAACTCATCTGGAAGTCACTTCCTCTCCCCAAACTAAACACAAATGTTCTTCTTTTTGCGGAAGTTTTGCGGCCATTCGCCTGTTACCAACACACAATTCGCCCAAGGACAATTTGATAATAAGTGGATTACGAAGGCATTTGCCAAAGTTATGCCACACAGTTTTCTCATCCTGGCCATAATCTCATTCTGATGCACGAGACTGTGAAGTGTGTGCTTAGCACTTAGGCGGGAGGTCTAGAAAAAAGCAAGTGTGCTCAAAGCTCGAAGGATGCAATATTGCTATCGCGATTCAGTATGGAATATGGCGAGGCTAAAGTCAATGTCAATGCCAGAGTTAAAGCCCTGACAGGCAATATTTGATATCCGCAAGGCCCCCGCCATAAATGGGCACTATTGATAAGTGCAGTCAGGCTGCAGTACTCCCCCTGCTATGCAAATAGTCTTCTCTTTGAAGCAGTCGAGTGAAACAAATTGCCGAGCCGATCATAAAAACGTGGGCTTATAGTTTTATTTTCCCTACTACGTTACTCTGCCCTCAAACATTTCTTTTTATGGCCCTTTCATACATGTGGCGTGGGCCACTGAAAAATTCATTCGGAAAGTGAATTTCCCAGGAAGCATGTCTATCGAATGGTTTTTTTTCGCTTGTAAATTCAAAATGAATTTTTACCTCCCGCTACCTCACTCAATTGATAAAATGTTATTTTATATTTTGCTCAATATAGCATATGTATTTAATCAAAAGAGCTTTATCAAAAGCAACAGGATAAAGCCAATAAATAAATAAAAAAGTATGCCAATTAGTTTTGAGGAATTTTCAACAAAAATCAGAGTCAGGCGTTGATGGTATTTTTTGCAGAAATGAATACTTGTGATTCTTTGATTTGTAAGTGCCTTTGGCATATTAGCTGTGGCTAGTTTAAGGCATAGTTGGATTTAAGGAGAAATTGGCATGCAAGGCAGCAGGATAATTATATTGAAGGCCTGGCCTCTTTGGCAAATTACTAAACCACCCCGGCTAATTGCTTTGTAACTGCCTTTTAGTTACACTAGTTCCGCTTTGGTTAGTTTATCGTTCGGTTCCCTGGCAATTAATTAGTTTGTCCGTGGTCGCCCAGATATTTTATGTCTCTGACAATGAGACTTTACGAGGGCTTTTACGACACGCTTAGAGCATCCCGCAGCATCTCCGGCATCTATCCGGTATCTTGGCCAGCTGTTTAGCTGCCAAAACAAAGTTTATTCCGATCAGGAATTCCCAGTGGAATGCAGAAGAACTCGGAGACAAACTTAACGAAGGCCCAGCCCAATCAATTGTGAAAGACAGAGAAAGATTTCTCGCATGCGCCGGTCGCATAAATTTGTTAACCGCTTTCGAACTACATCGACTCCGTTTCAAATTTGTGTTCTGGGGATCGATTTGCAATGCAAATGGCTGTTCTGGCTGGTTGGTTGGTTAGTTGGGTCTCCCCCCCTGGCCGCATTCCCATTATAAATAGACCGTGACTTACCTCTCCTGCCATCAAACGAGTGACTTTTTATCTCGCCCACCATCAACCTGCGAGCGGCTTTAATTATGCAAATAACTGGCGCCACAAGAACGTGCTAAAAACGCAAAAAAAAAACGCAAAATGGAAGAGACAAACAAATATATAAAATTGGTAGAAATCTGATAAATATCAATTCCCACAAACAAGTTAATAAAAGCAAGTGAGCGCCACCAAGGTGGCCCATCCGACCATAAAAATACCCAATAATGGGAAGGGTCCGATCATTTTCGTAAAAGCCTTCATAAAAACCATCATCAAGTTTTGTTTGGAAATTCGAACATACTCTTACCGTGGTCTCGGTAGATGGTAATCATGTTTATTTTTAAATTCCAGCCATATGGTGGAGATATCAATTACCAGTAGACATTTGCCAACAACCATCAGTCAATGACTTCGTTTGCTTTACCAACAGGTTTATTGTTTTTTATTAGGCCCTGGCCCTCTAGCCATATATACATAGTAGTACATACAGACACATTAGTAAAATTGCGGATTTAAGGGCTTTTGGTCGGCCCTTTTGTTGGCCAACAAAGTTTGATGTTAAATGAATCGGATAATTGCTAACAGGATAATCCAGAGTCAATATTTTTTAATGAAAAAGCTTATATTTACCCAACCAATTAAGCACCTTATTGGAATTAATTCATGGATTTAATGAAAAGTGAAATTGGAAATTATACCAATTGAATTATAATAACTAAAGCCAACACTTTCTCCGATTGCAACTGATTTCCAATTTATTAAACTCTTTACAATTGGGATTACGTTTGAATTACATTTCTGACAATTTAAATAGTCGTTTAATTTGAAACAAACGCAACAGAACCAACGAAGCACACCTGAAGCCCCAAAATGTATGCTACAAAAACACTCTTAAGGCAACTCCTTTGGCAAAGGCCATGCCTTAATATTCAATATACAAAGGAAGTAGCAGTAAGTGCTTGTTGGAGCTTAACAGGTATGTATCGATTACCTGAGAAACCTAACCAAATCAACCCCGACCCCTGTTCATCTCACATAATGGAAACGAAAGTTGCGGCAAAACTCTGGAGGTAAGCAATATGCCAGATTGCCTTCCATGGGCTAACGATCCCCAAAAGGGGGTTAGACACTCACGATACATAAAAAAACGAGATGCGTGAGCTGCGGACACGCGACATTAACTTCGATGATGGGTGACACTTTTTCCGGCATTTGAAGCCCCTAACCACCAGCTCGCCAGCTTCCAAAAACGAAATATGCCTGCGTGGGTGTTTCTCTTTTGCTTTCGCACATCAAAATTGATGGCTCACGGAGTACAGTAACTTATAACCATAAACGAAACTGATGTCGGGGCCGACAATGAGGCCTTTGTTGCACAGCCCAACGACCGTAAAGGACCGGCTAATAAAGGAAAATCAAATAACAATCATCACAATTACACCAAGGACATGTACTAAGCAAAAAAAAAAAAACTCCAAACGAAACTGAAACTGAAACTGAAACCGAATCCCAAAACTGAACTTTACTGAACTCGTCTGAGGATGTTGGACCGAGATTATTAGCATAATCCAAGGACCGACAATCCAACAACCGGCAACTGTCGCCGAGGTCAGTAAACTGTAAGTGAATTTTTATTAAATTCCATATGCATTAGATGTTGAATATTTGATTCTCCTTTGGGCCAAAGTTGGATGACTTAGGGTACGGCCAGATTTCTCTTATGTCCTTGGATCTTTATGATACAAACAAGGCAAATTAAATTTAAAGCAAACAGCCCCGGGGCCTAAGCAAAAAAAGGTGTTATTTTATCACTTCTTTTTTTGCAGAATTTCACCATTTGTATGTGTATTTCAGTTTTATTTCCGCCATTAAGACAGCTATTGCGTTGCTGCCACGGTGTATATTCAATCATAAATCAAAAAATCTCCCCTTTTATGGGCTGCGGTCCCCGACATCCTGGCGACACATGTCAAAGAGCGTGTTCAACCCTGCTGGACACCAATTAATCAAAAAATTGTCTATGACCATAGAACATTTTCCACCCAAGGAGCGCCAGTTTGCGTTACGCTTCGCATCGTGTAGTTGACAACAATCAGGGAAATAGGTTAGCTCGTCATCTACAGGGTAATATGAGATCCTTTAATTTTTACACAGAATTTCTTTGGAGAGAGCTTCTTCCAGAGGTTGAAACAATAAACATATATTACGCAACCCGGTCGCCTGAGATGGCAAACAAAAAAATGCAAACCAGATAAATCAGATACGCGCATAACTCTGTTCCCCATTGGGATTTGACAGCTTTCGGGCATGGCAAGTGACAGGCAAATTATGATTGGGCACAATTCAGATTTATGTTCCTTATATAAGCTTCTTGGCATCTATTCTGATACGCTACTACGGCGCTACTTCCGCGGCTTCCGTGGCCTCTACAATTTTTCCTTTAAAAAGTTTAACCCAGTCAGTCTTCCAATAAATTGAGCTGTCAATGGTTTACTTTTTATTAGTGTTTCCGCTTTGATAGCTTCTGACGCAGCCTGGAATTTGCTGATTGAAGTTTATTGAGCAAAATAATCCTTGACGCCATCAAGTGATGCCATGTAATTGCGCAGATTAAAAAGAGTACCTTTCCACCATCTTGTTAGGGGAACATATTTCTGTATCTACGCAGAATTTATTCCATTTTCTGCGAATCCTTTATGGCCCTAAACAATGCATATACGCAGAACGGTTGTCCTTTATTAAATAATCGATTAGAACTCGGGTAATCTGTCAACCGAACACCAACAACGGACAAAGGATTGCGCAAAGTCATGATCAAATTAAAGGTATTTACAAAGAGGCGTAATAAATAACCTGGCTGAATGGTTTAACAATTGCGTGTTAGACAAACTCGTCAAGGACGAGGCTACCCCAATTTTGTGCGTAGGCAGGACACGAGAGTCTATCCAGAATACTATATTATGGATCCCTTTAAACGATACCCATGAAACTCAGGATACCATGCCATTTGGCAACTCATTTAGCAGCCATCTATTATTACACTTTTAGTTATGCAAATTAAAGACTTTGCTTTGAGGTCGTCCTGACAGCTTTTGGTTGTTGGTCCTGGTCTGTCTTAAA